TGTTTGAATTTGTTTCTCTCCAGTTATTTGTTCATTCACTAACACTCCTTGAGCACTTCATCAGTGCCCACGCCATTCTAGGTTCTAGGGACACGGCACTGAACAAAATGTGTTCTTCCTGGGGACATCCTAGTGGAGGGAGCAGACAAGGAACAGAGGGTAAGGTGCATGATGTTGAGGGCCATGGAGAAAGACAGAGTTGAGGTGGGGTAGGAAAGTCAGTAGGTGGCCAGGGAGGTTCAGAAGGAGGGGAATGAACCATGCACATTCCTGGCAGATGGAACAGCATGTGCAAAGCCCCTGAAGCAGGGAAATGCCTGGGTTGCAAAGTGACCAGGGTTGCTGCAGTGGAGGGGAGGAGGGAGTGGAAGAAGATGAGAGGGAAAGTGGAAAGGCAGGATCCCAAGGGGCTGGAAGGTGATCAAATGTCCTTTGGCCTCTCCCCTGACTATAATGGATGCACCGGAGCTTTGAGCTGAGGTGAGATGGTCTGACTCAACATTTCCACGGGGTCACTCCAGCTGCTGGACTGGAAATGAACCATAAGAGCTATGCAGAAGCAGGAGCTCAGCTAGGCGCCTTTGCAGAAATCCTGCTGAGAGACAGTGGGACTGGACAAAGGGGGCCACCACAGACACGTGAGAGTCCAGAAATGTTGTCAAGGGTGCTGGAGAGGCCGGTGGCTCTGGCGTTTGCTGGTGATCTGTGTCTGAGTCTCACTTCCCCGAGGTAGCATGGGGCACAAATATATGAAAGGATCAAGCTCCTGCTACTGAAGTCATTGCTGAGGAAGAGGGGGGGAAATCTGTCACCAGGCGGGTCTCTGGTACATGCACAGGCCCAGCAGGCATGGCAGGCGCTCGCGGGCAGGTGACAGAGGAGGGAGAGTTTGGAAGTGACAATGTAGAGCATGAGGGACGAGTGCTCACCATTAAGGAGCTGAGGCACATGTCCTGAGCACTCCCTGAGCCCCAGTGTCCTCGGTTTAAAATGGAGAGGAAGTCTCTAGCTGAGATGCTGGTTTCGAAAATAAATGCAGAGACCTACAGGAAAGCCCAGCCCTGTGCCCACCTCAGTGGGACTGGGCCAATCAGGGAGGTGTATGCATGGGTAGCCCTGGGTCAATACCGTGCAGAGCTGCACTGCTCCTGAGGAGCCAGACGGGGACACACAAGGCCACAGTAGAGAGGACCACATACACCTGGAAATGACAGCCAACCTGCTCCTGTGTGGTGTCTCATATGCTTGAGAGTAAAAAGTGTCTCATACACACATGGAAAGGGAAAAATCCACACTTTACTGTCGCACCTCTCTGGGGACTGAATGGTGGACCTGTTTGTTCAAAGGCCATTCACTAAAGGCCGGGTATTTCTAGCCTTCAAGTTACCATTAAGGTCAACATGTGCAAAGAACAGAAAAGCTAATTCAAACTGGCTTGAAGAAAAACAAAATAACTTGCAAGTAAACTGATGCTACTGAAAAGTCCAGGGATGGCTTCAGGCATGGCTGGGTCCAGGGTTCCAGCTAATGTTATCAGGGTCCATTTTTTCTCCATCTCTGGCCTCTGCCTTCTGTGTTGGCTTCATTCTCAGACACTGGCTTAGCTCAGACTGCCATCACAAAATGCCAAGGACTGGGTGGCTTAAACAAGAGAAATTTATTTCTCATGATTGTAGTGACTGGGAAGTCCAAGATCAAAGTGCTGACTAGATAGGTTTCCTTTTGAGGCCTCTTCTCTTGGCTTGTAGGCAGCCACTGTCTTGCTGTATGCTCACATGACCTCTTTGTGCACACACAGAGGAGAAGCTCTGGTGTCTCTCATAAGGGCACTAATCCCAGTGTGGGGACTCCATCCTAAAGATCTCATCTAACCTCATCACCTCCCAAGACCCCACCTTCTAACACCATCACATTGGGGGTTAGGGCTTCAACATATGGGTTCTGGGGTACATAAACGTTCAGTCTATAACAGACACAGTTTATCTTTCTTGGTGACAAAGAGCATACTGGCAGCACCAGGCTTCCACCCTCAAGGGGTGAGGAGAAGAAAGGGGACTTCTCTCTCTCAATCTCAGCAAAGGTCCCCTGCATGTGTCTTATTAGCTCTAACTGAGTCATTAGTCCATCCTTGAAGCAATTATAGTGGGTAATGGGGGGCATGATGCTCTGGTTCAGCAGGTTATGTGCCCACACCCTGGGCCAGCTTGAGAGGACACTGTACCCAGCCCCAGAGGCAGGGACCAGGGAGGGTGAACACACCAAAGAAACGCAGTGAGCTTTTGCCAGAAAAAGTTCAGAAGACAGC